GTCTCGATCTCTTGACCTCGTGATCCACCCGCCTCAGCCTCCCAATCAATTATTCTTAAGATACATTTAGTTGTTTCTTCATTTCTATGAACAACTTATACTTAATTTCAGAGTCTATTCTTATATTTCAGTCATATGCTTACATCTACATTCAAGTCTTGAAGAATTTTCAAGGTGAAATAAACAATTCAGTTGGCTGAATTTTCATCTCTGGATGGGAGGAGACTGGTAAAAAATAAACACGTATACATAGCTGTTACTTTGAGGCAAGCTTAGTGTTTTAGATGCATTGATTCATTAGAGAGGAAGAAAGTGATGCATAGAAACGTTAAGTCACATGCCCAAAATGCCATAGCTCAAAAAACCAAGATGCAAAACCAGGCCGACTTGCTCCCATCTTGCTTCTTAATCACTCTGTTATTCTGCATCTCACACACACACATACACACAAACACCCTGCATATCCAAGTAGGAAGAGGATTTTTTTCCAGTGATCTAATTATCTTATGCTACAATTGTAATAACTATAGTTATCACAGGTGTATTGGTTATGCTTTCTCAGTCAATATTCAGCCAATTTGACTAAGATGAAAATCTCATTTGCAATTAAAGAAACTTTAAAAAGGAAAGGAATTCTGCTAATGCTTTTGAGCCCTTATTTATATAGTAAATCTCTTCCTCACTTCACTCTCATTAAATGAAACATTATAATTAATTCTTGTTTTCTTTCTTACTTTGGTATAAATATTTCTACAATAGTTTTAGTTAATTATAGTTATTGCTGGCACTTCTGATGAATAACGATTCCTGACCAAAATAAGGCATCCTTTTCTGAAAAGATGAAAATTTACAAGTACAGAAAAAGCAAGTGCCATATTTTGTTTTTGTTGAAGTCTTCTAGTTATTTTTTTCAGTCCTATTTCTTAAAATTAAATGTGAAGATCCTTGTTACACTGAAATTAATTCATAGTTCTGGGTTTGAAATTATATTTTTTTCTCAACTTTAGCTCTGTTAGTCTTCATGTAACACAGATAAATGAATGCCCTTTCAAATACTTATTAATAATTTCATAATTTCATGTGAATGCAACAATGATCAGTAATATTAATCTCTCTCTGGGAAAGTATAATTTATTAATCTTTTTCATGATAAATTGATGCAATTTTAATAGCAATATTTAATTTTTTTCTAAAAGTAGTAACTTCTTTTTCTGATTATATGGCAGAATATGTGGCTGTACATTAACCTTTATTTATAATAAGTGTAAGGATTCCTTATAGAATAATATGATTTATTTATCATAAAAAATGTTATATGTCACTGGAAAAATATTTTAAGATTTCATGAGTTCTTTCAACTTCTTAATAATCTTTTAGAAGTAAAAACAAATTTTAACAAAGCTACTAGGATCAAATAGCTAATGTATATTTATCTTATTTTTCTAAAAATGTTGTTTCCAGTAATATATTCTCAACTCCAGAGTTTAAGCAATCAAGCTTGAAATAATTATATCATTTGCTATCTGAATTTAGAGCAACTGACAGAGTTGGGAATGACTTTCCCAAGGTCATGGGTAAGAAATTTGCATTTAGTTTTTAAGCTAAAACTGTTAATCTGCAGCATTAACTAGTCATGTATTTATTCATTTCTTAAATAATAACTAAGAAAAATCTGAACTAGAATTTTTAACTTCTCTATCATCAAAAGTGTTTAAGGTAGAACCCAAATATATTTTATCGTATACTTTATTTAGCAAAGATTTGAAATTGTCCTTAGTTGGGGATTAGAAAATAATTATCCCTGAAATTGAGGCCTAAAGTCTGGCTCAAGGATGAAGTTCCTTTCCTGTCAAATGAGACAGTTATGTGGAATAATTTTCACATCATTCTAGCATTCTCTGATTCTCATGTCGTGATGAGCAGGAATTGGAAGAATGATCAATATTAATTCCGTCTACATACACACTAGTCCTAAATCACTGCCTTTATTCTTGATCTTTTCATCTCATAGGAAATAGCCTTTAACTACCTAATAATTAAAAATATTGTGAAACTGGAAGCAAAAATTTTAATTAATTTAGCTAATCTTCACAGAAAAAAAAATCATGAACTCAGTTTTTCTTTAACTGTCCAGAAATATCTATTTAATAAAGAGACTCAGATCTTGAAAATTTTGAACTCCTGGCTAAGTAATATAAGTGTACAAATATCTGCATTGTCATGAGCTTTGAGATTCCCTTGGAAGCCAGCTAGAAGTTTCAGGAGTGGTGAATGAGTACAGAATTATGACAACTAAATGAGAGTAGAATGGATGAAGTGCATTCTCCTTGAATCTCAGGTTCAAGGAGATTCAAACAACTTTAAAATCATTAACATTTGGGGGGTGGGCGATGACATATCTATCTGTAGATTTATCTAGTCATCTCTAATTCTAATGTATATACTCTGTTTCCAGAGTTCACTTTCAAAAATACAGCATTAATCATGTCACCCCATGTATTAAATTTTTCCATGGGCATACACCATCAGAGGGCCTAAGGACAGTTCCTCTTTGCCCAGCACTGCCCCTGCCAGTGCTTGCCCACGTCATTGAGGCCTGAGGATCAACTCAACCTGCCTGAGTCCAGACACCTTGCCCAGGGATTTGAAGATTCACCCAACCCATCTACCACCACTGGTGTCTATGCACTCCTCCTAGCGGTCTAAGGACATGTCTGTCAAGCTTGCCATCACCACTGCTGCCAGAACCCACCTGCATGAGCCACATGGGGACCTGAGGATGGGTCCTTTCAGCCTACTACCACCACTGCTGATGTCCATGTGTACCGCTTGGGGATCTGAGGATAGGTTCAGTGCTACTACTGCCTTCACTGATGCCATGCATGCCACCCATGGACCCAAGGACCTAACTGCCCACCCAGCCCACCACTGCTACTGCCAGAACCTGAGTAAGCTGCCTGGACGTGCTACCACGATACCTGCATATACCACCCAGGGGCCTAAAGACTGGCATGCTCAGCTCACTGTTGCCACCAGTGGGGCCCAAGGATTAACCTACCTTGTGTCCCTGTCCTCAGCAAAGCCTCACCATAGCCTCTACTAACAACTACAGCTTAAGCTGCTGAGGAACACAAAGACGTCACTGATGCTGATTTTAACCAAACAAATCATACAGAGACTACTGTACCCACCTAGAATCAAAGCCAAAGCTCCTTATTCAACGAACACTCTAGTTTGTCTATAAAGAAAAACATCTTTCCTTATGAAACCAAATCTATAAAATTGGAAGAAGCAAGTGTTTTATCAAAATAGAGATATCATTGTAAGGACAGAAGAAACATGAAAAGGAAACATGACACCTCTAATGGAACACAATAATTCTCCAGCAACATACTCAAGAAAAAGAAATTATGAAATTCCTGAAAAGGAATTCAACATAATGATATTAAAGAAGCTCAGTAAAATACAAGAGAACACAGATAAAAAATACAAAGAATTCAGAAAAACAGTTTACGATCTGAATGAGAAATTTGACAGAGATATTATAAAAAAGAGTCAAACTTTGGAACTGAAGAATTTAATCAAATGAAATAAAAAATACCATTGAGAACTTCAACAATAGACTAGATCAAGCAGAAGGAAGAATTTCTGAATATGAAGACATCTTTTAAAATAACCCAGTGAGGCCAGGCATGTGACTCATACCTGTAATCCCACACTTTGGGAGGCTGAGGCAGGTAATTTGCTTGAGGTCAGGAGTTTGAGACCAGACTGGACAACATGGCAAAACCCTATGTCTACTAAAAATACAAAAAAAAAAAAAAAAAAAAAAAAAGCCAGACGTGTTTACGTGTGCCTATAATTCCAGCTACTTGGTGTGGTGGCTAAGGCATGAAAATCACTTGAACCTGGGGGGCAGAGATTGCAGTGAGCCGAGATAGCACCACTGCACTCCATCCTGGATGACAGTGAGATTCTGTCTCATTTAAAAACAAACTAACAAAAAAACACATGAGATTTTAAAAAGAAAAAAATATTTAAAAATGAAGAAAGTCTACATAATATGATATATAGGACACTGTAAACTGACTAAATATTGAAATTTTGTTGTTCTATAAGGTGTAGAGATGGACAAAGGCATAGAAAACCTGTGTAATGAAATAGCAGCTGAAAGCTTCCTGTTTTGGAAGAGATCCAGATATCCAGATACAGGAATCCCAGTGATCCCTAAATAGCTTCAACCTAAAAGGTCTTTTCCAAGAAACATTATAGTGGAATTTTCAAAAGTCAAAAACAAAGATTAAATTCTAAAAGCATCAAAAGAAAAGCATCAAGTCTATGTAAGGAACCCTCCTTCAGACTAAAGCAACTTTCTAAACTTAAACCTTACAGATCAGGAGACAGTGTAAATTGATATATTCAAAGTGCTAAGAGCAAAAAACAACTCATCCAAGAATGCTATTCCCAGCAAAGTTTTCCCAGACAAGCAAAATTTGTGGGAATTCATTAGCATTGGAACATCCCTACAATAAATGCTTAAGAAAGTCCAGATTTTACCTCTATAAGCAAAAGAACAATATCTACCGTCACAAAAACACATAAAAGTATGAAATTCAGTGGCAGAGCAGATACACAAATGAGAAAGAGAAAGGACTCAAGTGTTGCCACTGCAAAAAAACATCAAACCACAATGACAATAAGAAAGGAAAAAAGGCTATACAAAACAATCAGAAAAGAATTAACAAAATGACAAGAGTAAGTCCTCACATACCAATAATAACCTTGAATGTAAATGGATTAAGTTTCTCACTTAAAATATGCAGACTGCCTTAATGGATAGAAATATATAACCCAACTATTTGCTGCTCATAAAAACTCACTTCACCTGTAAAGAAACAAAAGACTGAAGTGAAGTGATGGTCAAATATATTTCATGCAAATGAAAAACAAAAGCAAGCATGAGTAGTTATGTATCAGGTAAAATGGACTTCAATAACAGTAAAAGCAACAACAACGATGAAGTGATCATATATAATGACAAAGAGATCAATTCAGCAAGAGGATATACCAATTCTAAATATATATGCATGCAACACTGTAGCACAGAGCTATATAAAGGAAATATTTGACCTAAAGGGTGAGATAGGCTCCAACACAGTAATGGTTGGGGACCACAACCGTTGTCAGCATTAGACAGCTCATGTAGACAGAAAATAAACATTGAACTGAAATTATACTTTAGACCAAATTGGCCTAATAGACATTTACAGAACATTTTATCCAACAGCTGTAGAATGTACCTTCTTTTTATCAGCACATGTAACATTCTCCAGGATAGACTGTGTGTTAGGCCATAAAACATGTCTCAAAAAAATTTTAAAAATAGAAATTCTATCAAGTATCTTCTTAGACCACAAAGAAAAAAGCTAGAATTCAATAACAAGAAGAACTTTGGAAGCCATACAAATACATGGAAATTAAGCAACATGCTCATGATCAACTATTGGGTCAATGAAGAAATTAGGAAGGAAATCAAAAAAATTTTGAAACAAATGAAAATGGAAACACAATATGCCAAAACCTATAGAATATAGCAAAAGCAATAGTAAGGAGGAAGTTTATAGCAATAAATGCCTACATCAAAAAGTAGAAGGATGTCAAATAAACAACTTAACAATGCACTTCAAAGAACCAGGAAAGCAAGAAGAAACCAAAACCAAAATTAGTAAAAGGAAAGAATAAAGATCAGATCAGAACTAAATGAAATAGGGACTTAAAAAAAAATACAAAGGCCAATGAAAAAAAAAGTTGGTTTTTTGAAAGATAAACAAGACGAGTAAACTGCCACCTACACTAACCAAGAAAAAAAGAGGGAAGATTCAAATAAAATCAGAAATGAAAAAGGTGACATAGCAACAGATGCCACAGAAATAGAAAGAATCATTCGAGATATAATGGTTTAAACAACTGTATGCTAATAAATTAGAACACCTAGAGGATATGAATAAATTCCTGGATGCATATAACCCACCAAGTTTGAACTAGAAAGAAACAGAAAACCTGAACACACCAACGACAGGTAATGAGATTGAATCAGTAATAATAATAATAAAAAGTCCCATCAAAGAAAAGCCCAGGACCAGATGACTTTACTGCTAAATTGTACCAAAATTATAAAGAACTAATATCAGTTCTTTTCAACCTATTCCAAAATGTGGAAGAAGAGGGAATTCTTCCTAATTTATTCTATGAAACCAGCAGTATCTTGATACCAAAACCAGATAAGGATAAGGTGGAAAAAAGAAAACAGCAGGCCAGTATCTCTGATGAACATAAATGCAAAATCCTCAACACAGTACTATCAAACAAATTTCAGAAACACATCAGAGAGATAATACATAATGATCAAGTGAAATTTATTGTTGGGGTATGAGGATGGTTCAGCAATAAGCATGATACAACACATCAACAGAATGAAGGACAAAAACCATATGATCATATCAATAGATGCAGAAAAAGCGTTTGCTAAAATTCTACTTTTCTGCATGACAAAACCTCTCAATAAATTATGCATAGAAGGAATATATTTCTACGTAACAAAGTCCATATACAGCAAACCCAAAGCTGACATCATACTGAATGGAGAAAAGAGGAAAGCCTTTTCTTTAAGAACGGAAGAAGGCAAGGATGCCCACTTTGACCATTCTTATTTCACAGAGTACTAGAAGTTCTAACCAGAGCAGTCAGGCAAGAAAAGGAACTAAAAGACACCCAAATCAGAAAAGAGGAAGTAAGATTGTTCCCTCTTTGCAGATGGCATGATTTTATATAGAGAAAAACCTTAAGAGTTCACCAAGAAAACTCTTAGAACTTATAAAGAAATTGAGTAAAGCTTCAAGACACAAAGTCAACATATTAAAATCAGTAGCATTTTTATACACCAATAATGAACTAACTGAAAAAGAAATCAAGGAATCAGTCTTATTTACAATAGCTTAAAAAAATACTGATGAATAAATTTAACCAAGATCTGTGCAAGGAAAACTACAAAACATTGATGAAAGAAATTGAAGATAACATCAAAAAAATGGAAAAATATTTCCTGCTCATGGACTGAACAAAATCATATTGTTAAAATGACAATACTATCTGATATGGTTTGGCTGTGTCCCACCCAAATATCGTCTTGAATTGTAGTTCCCACAATTCCCATGTGTCATGGGAGGGACCCAGTGTGAGGTAATTGAATCATGGGGTCAGTTTCCCCCATACTCTTCTCAGGGTAGTGAATAAGTCTCACAAGACCTGATGGTTTTGTAAAGGGAACCCCTTTTGCTTGGCTTGCATTCTCTCATCTGCCACCATGTCAGACATGCCTTTCACCTTCCACCGTGATTGCGAAGGCTCCCCAGCCACGTGGAACTGTAAGTCCATCAAACCTCTTTTTCTTTATAAATTACCCCAGTCTCAGGTGTATTTTTATCAGCAGTGTGAAAACAGACTAATACAATCTACAAATTTAATGTAATCATTATACCAATGACATTTTTCAAAAAGGAAAGGAAGTCAATCAATGGGATAACTGTACCCCCATGTTTACTGCAATACTATTTACAGTAGCCAAGTTATGGTATCAACCTAAGAATACATCAACAGATGAATGGATAAAGAGAAGGCGGTGTATGTATACAATTGAATACTATTTAGCCATAAAAAATAATGGAATTTTGTCACTTGTAGCAAATGGGTGAAACTAGAGGTCATTATGTTAAGTGAAATAAGCCAAACAGAAAGACAAATACCACATTCTTACTCATATGTGGAAGCTTAAAATATTGATCTCATGGAGATAGAAAATAGAATGATAGTTACCAGAGCCTGGGAAAGATCTATGGGAATAGAGAGAAGTTGGTTAATGGGTACAAACATATAGAGAGATGAAATAACTTTTAGTGTTTGATAGGACAGCAGGTTAAATATAGTTAACAACAATATATTGTCTATTTCAAAATAGCTAGAAGAGAAGATATTAAATGTTTCCAACACAAAGGAATGATGTGTTCAAGGTGATGTATATTTTAAATACCCTGATTTGATCATACTTCTATCAAAATATCTCATGTATCCTATAAATATGTATAATTATCTTGTACCAATAAAACATGTTTCTAAACCTTCAGTGGTTCCCAATTGCCTGTAGCAGCAGTTTGCAATTGTTTTCCCTTTTATGACAAGCAAGCGTGATAGATGATAGATACTGTTCGTCTGCTGTTCATCTGAGCAGCTCCATTCACATCCACTGCTATGCTTAAAATTATTTGCAAATTCAGGCATGCCAGCTGTAATTCTGCCTACCTTCTCTCCAAATCAGGAAGGCATACCACAATACACGAGTGACAATGACATTTTCATATGCTCTCAAATATTTCAAAAGCAAATTAATCCTTGACACTGTGCTTTATTGCTGCTAATAAAGCACGTGTAACGTGCCTCGAAATTATCAGTAGAGGTCAAGATACTACAGCTACACACTGTATTGTCATTGTTAAATCCAGACTCTT